CTATTGCTCAACAAATGGAGATGGATTGATCAGGCATACGTTGAGGAGACCGTCGAACGAAATTGAGGTCAATGCAGACCATCGCTTGAGTGGAATTCAAATGGGGAGCGATGAGTGATTCGTCCTATGGTGACATGGAGCAGATCGTGTGAGGAAGAGATGAGAGACAGAGTCTTGGCAATCGTAGACCCAGATGAAGAGGGTGGCAGAAAATAGAAGGAAGTGGAGATGTGTTGTTGAAGCCCTAGGGTATAATAATAGTAATAATATTCTCCTAGTTGAAATGTGGCATTTTAGTATAAAGTATATTTACAAGCCATATATACATCATAAAAATGAACTATACAATGTATATGCCTCTAATGTGTTGCAAAAACAGGTCTCATTTTTTAATAGAAGTAGTCATAGGACATATACCATTCTAATCTGCTTAAAATCCTTCAGCACAATTTGTATGAGTACAAGTTTTATGATCCTTTAATTCTGATGAATATGTCGTCACAGTGTGATAGTCACAATGCTTAACATTTCAAAGTGATGCTATCCATAATCTTCGTTGAAATTGTCACCCTAACCTTGTCCTGACGCTGATCATATCCAAACCGAGAACCTGCTGTAACCCTAGCCCTACACCAGTCTCAGTCGTAACCCTAACCCTAAATCACAGTGAAAGTAACAACTATGACTGTGAAAAGCATCCTTTTGTAATGTTGAGCAATCAGATTGGTTGACTGAATGTCATTTGACTGTGGTACTCTGGTGAGTGCTACTTATAATCCGATATAAGTAGTATATCAGAAACGAAGTAACAATATGTTTGACACACTGGAAAGAGCAATCAAAGAAGAGAACCATGAAAAGAATGTTGCCATATGATGCAGAATTCAAGAAGCTATCAAATGAGACGATATTCGACCAATTCGTCAAGGATGTGGCAAAGATGTGCAAATGGCCGGTTGAGAATATGGTATACCAAATTAAGTTATATACCATACACGTTTCACCAAATAAACATTCCTTTCAGCCTGCTCAGTGTTGTCTTCTTTACAGTATCTCTTCTTTACTCGAGCCGTTAATAAATATCATTGGTTGCTCATAAAGATAACTCCGTCGTTCTGTGACCACATTTTCCACTTAGGTTTTTAGGTAACTATCAGATAGGCATCAAAGGAGTAATTTTTGGTCCATGGCATGTTCATATATGACCATTTTGGGTGTTTTCCACCTTTCCATTTTATATAGTTGTCTAATTTCAGCTACCATTTAGAGGACCATTGAAAATCAGGCAGTACTGGACAGCCGTTTCGTCCCCTTTCGAGACTCATCGACGATACTCACCGAGCGGGGACCGAAGCCGGGACCTCCCGGTTACAAAGCGAACCTGTAGACCGTCTTGCTACGAATCAGTAGGAGTTGGAATTCATGAGGTGGTTACCTATACGGGTCCCAGTGGTCGAATGGTCTATGAGCTTCCCTTGTAGCCAGAAGGTCCTGGGTTCGAACTCCAGTAGGTGCATACTGTTGACGAGTCCTGAACTAGGATGAAACAGCTGTCCAGTACTCCAAGGTTTTCAATGGTTCCCCGACCGATATCAATCCGTGATCAACTCTTAGAAAAAATCTAATCCTTACAAACCAATTATAGAAGATCGCTAAACCAAATGACACCTGCTGTGGTATCAAAACAAAGTTTACCAAGAAAAGAAGGTTTAGTGTGATGACGAATTGTTGCTTTGAATGCATGAAGGTGGTTTAAACTTCATAATTGCCAGCTAGAGCTTCCACAAACTTTAGGATACCCCCCAAACACGTTTAATAGGTAGGCTTAAAAGATGTGCAAACATCAATTTTATGTCCTGTCTCTATAATATGTTTCGCAATGGAGGAGCTAGGTCTCCTGTTCTCATCATTAATGGGTTCTGTTTATAGAAAACCTACCTGGATAGTTAGGTATCTTAATCATCTCAATTCCTGCTCTGTTCGGTACAAAAGAGACCTAGTAAGTAAGGTACCTCTTCAGTAGAATCCAAAGGATATGCACTGAAGACACACTAGATGAGGAAGGAAGAAACTTGACACAAACTCTGGTTGATAACAATTATCCAGACAAGTTCACCAGGAGATATATAGTACTCAGAACACCAAGACCCATTCTCCTACTCATTGCTCAGAAAGACGTGTACATCAAGCTACCCAATATGGGGCATCATAGCAGCTTGACAACTAAACAAAGATTGAACGCTGTGGCCAAAAAGACTTTTTACACAGCCAATATCATAATAATAGAGAATGTAAAGCCAATACATCTATCTAAGCCCTTCGAACATGCGAAAAATGACGTCACATCCCACTGTATTTACCAATTTGAATGTACGTGTGGACACACATACACATAAGGAGGACTCATCGATCTCTGTAAGTAAGGGCTGGCTTCAGAGCATATTCCTAAATGGCTCCAGAAACAAATGGAATCTTCAGAACCTATTAATGGTGAGAACAGGAGACCTAGCTCTTCCATTGCGAAACATATTATAGAGATAGGCCATAAAATTGATGTTTACACATCTTTCAAGCTTATCTATAAAACATGTTTGGGGCGTATCCTAAAGTTTGTGGAAGCTCTAGCTGGCAATTGGAAAGTTTAAACCACCTTTATGCATTCAAAGGAGCAATTCATCAACACATTTAATCTTCCTTCCTTGGTAAACGTTGTTTTGATACCAGCCAGGGGAGATGTACTATTACCTTTGTTATCTGGTTTAGTGATCTTCATTGTTATTTTCACCTTCGATATGGCCTTTTAACTTGACCTAAATTTTAGAACCAAACATATAAGCAAACAATATTGTTGCTTTGAATTAGATCTTCAGGCTTAACTCTGATTTACATAAATTTATGTATAAAAATTTTCAACCAATGATGGTGATTTTATGGATCAAATGATAATAATAATAATATTGTGTTAAATGTTTTGAACGTCGTTAATAACGATGATTATAATGATAACAAAATATTGATAAGAAGGTCAGTGCAGGTGGCGATAAGAATAACAAAGGTAGTAATATATGTATATATAAAAAATTCAATAAATAAACAATTATTCATTATAATAAAGGTTTTTGTATTTCCCAATGAATGAAAAACAAAACGATATTGTTTCTTACTTACTTTACGTTTCGCTATTTAATGCTAATAGCTTTATCAAAGTATTATTAAACCAGAATTTACAAATAAATAAATTAGGTCAAATCTTAAGTCACGTAATACTAAAGATGAAGTGGACAGATAATCCGACTTTAAATAAATATCATAAAAGTACGAAGGAAATGGAAAATAAGAGAGGAAGGGTGGGAGGGTTTTGATTAGAATTCACCTAGGCCAAGGGAGAGATAAAGGTAGGACAAACTTCTTTTGTTGTATGCAAAAGACTAGGATTGTTCTCTCGAATTAATTCCCATATATTCGGCTATGTGTAAAAGGCGGTTTCCAATTCCGGCTTCCAAAGGCTCGATGGAATGCGATAGATAACTTCGAAGGCACTATTTCTGTCCACTTGGTGACCACTATCATTAATCAAATGAGCCAAAGTACAAATTCTCATAGATTTTATTTGGGCTTTTCCGAGCCATGAAGGAAGATGCCCATTAATGCGTTTGTTAAGCTGTCTAGTTGTTCGCCCTATATATCTTTCTCCACAGGAGCTGCTAAATTTGTAGATACACATAGAAGTGGCACAGCTACGTAGCTTGTCTTTCTCTTCAGCAATAATAATTCGTCGGCTGGAAATTGCAAACAAAGGGTGGCGGCAGTATAAGTCCGTTTTATTGCTCTCGATAATCTCAAACGTAAGACTTCACTAGCCACGTCCCCATTAAATTGCAATTTCATGAACAGTTGTTTCTTTTTAACTCTTGCCAGTTTTTCTTTATTGTACCTGGTATTCACGTGTCTCCTAACAAATCTACCAGGATAACCCATTTGCACAATCGTATTTTGGATGTATCCTAACTCATTTTCTAGGGAGTCATCTGTACAGATCTGTCTTGCTCTATTCGTGAGGTGGCATCTGACCAAACTGATTTTATATCGGATTGGTACAAAACTGAGGAAATGTGTATACTGTCCTACAGATGTAGGTTTTCTATAGACATTTCTCTTGAGTGAACCATCCTCTCTTCTGGACAACTGGACATCAAGGAAGTGTAGTCTACCATCATGTTCTTCTTCAAAAAAGATGAGCGATGGATGTGTATCATTAAATTTTAATAGAATTTTTCATTCTTGTCAGCTTTCACATGAAGAATAATAAACATATCATCAGCATAACGAAAATAAGAATCAGTTTTATCTATTACTTTGGACCCTTTTGTTATGCTTATCGCCACCTGCATTAAACTTATTATTAGTATTTTGTTATCATTATAATCATCGTTATTAACGACGTTCAAAACCTTTACCACATTATTATTATTGTTATTTGATCCACAAAATCACCGTCATCGGTTAAAATTGTCATATATAAATCTATGTAAATTAGAGTAAAGCCTGAAGAAGATCTAATTGAAAACAACAATACTGTTGGCTAATATGTCTTGACCTAAATTTATTTTCTCGCCTCTTAACTCTTTATTAATTTCATATAGATATTCCTATGACAAGTCCGAGTGTGTGTTCAGATTGTTCGTAATGTGTTGCGCTCAAATAAATTACACGATTCAGACAAAATACGTCTTCTCATGGCTTTGTCTTAATGCATAAAGGAAACCAAATTGTTTTTTTGATTGAACACCAGTCAGTAACTAGTGCAATGTGTCTAGTCCTATCTTCGGTGCAGACTGAATTCTATCAGTTATGTTTGCAACATCAGTGCCTTCAAGATTACAGATACGCCTTGCTGATGAGTGCCAACCAGCACGAAACCTAGGTCCAAGGCTTCCTGCCGATTGCCTCCAACCATCTAATACCAACGAAACCAAATTGTTTTAAATATATAAACATACCTTTCGTTCAAATTCTTTCAACTTCCAAAAACTTTCTTCTTTCTCTTTTTTCATACAATTTCTTCGAAGTGCTGCCTCTGTATTCGATTGATAAATATTTTTGGACATATGCTGTATTCAATTTACGTTTTTGATAAATAATAATTTAAATGATTACCTTAGCTTCATTTGACTTTCTCCTCCTGCTCTCAGCTTTTTTCATCTGTGCATCGATCCAGTCTCTTTGGTATTTGTGTGAAATAATCTCTTCAATAGGTGTAGAAGCTCTTGGTAGGTATTAGAAAAAAAAACAATTTATCGATAGAGCGATTAATATGAGCTAAAGACCAAGTTTGTCAAACAAAAAACAAACTTTGAGGATCTGGACTTTGGCGATGATATATGTCTGATTTCCCACAAACTGGAAGATATGTAAGCGAAAAGCAACAAATTGGCAAAAGAAGCATCCAGAGAAGATAGGACTTCAAGTGAACATAGAGAAAACGGAGGTGGGTGATGAATATTCCCGGCCAACACCACCAACAGCAACAACAACAACCGACAACAATCAGCATAAATGGAAGGAACCTGAAAAATAACAACCTGTTTTACCTAACCTGGAAGCATCGTTTCAACTACAGCCACAAGGAACTGATGAGGATATCAAAGCAAGAATCGGAAAAGCAAGACAAGCTTTCACTACTCTCAAGTCTGTGTGGAGGAGGTCACCAGTACTCAGCATCAAAAATAAGACGCGGATTTTCAACTCCAATGTGAAGTCAGTCAGTGCTACTCACTATACGGATCAGAGACTTGACCAGCGCGTCATGAAGAGCACCTCAAACGAACTACAGACCTTCATTAACAATTGTCTTCGCTTAATACCACTCAAGATCAGATGGCCGGCCAGAAAAGATCAGAAACAGAGATCTCTGGCAATGAGCGAACCAACCAGGGACCGATTGTGAAACAAATAGCCAGGAAGAGATGGAGATGGATTGGCCATACTTATGAGGAAACCATCAAGTGAAACCACTAGACAAGCCATTGCTCGAGTGAAACCCGAAAGGGAAGCAGCGAGTTGGTCGTCAGTGGAAGGGTGACTTGGAGGAGGTCATGTGAAGAGGAGATGAAAGCATGTGGGCAGACTTGGAACCAGGCGAAGTCTCTAGTAGAGAACCGAACGCAATGGATACGGGTGGCTGAAGCCCTATGTTCCTCTAGGAATTAAAGGAAAGAATAATAATATAAATAATAAAGACCAAGTTTACATATCTCATGTGTATTACTTTTTTAGTCACAGATGAATATTTGTCAGAGTATTTCTTTATCGTCTATTTCCACAGGACCCTTTGAAGTGAATGATTTACCATTGTTCTTCTGTATTACACTATTCTTTTTGCCTCACACTTCTGTTTATTATGTCTCTTTTGAATCTCTCTTTACTCTCTCCTCTTGCTTGTGTACAACATGGAGTGTAGTAACTCAAACTGCTGCACATTTGTGCGAAGTTGTACGTTGAAACCAGTCAGTTAGTCAGTCAGTCAGTCAGAGTGACTTACTTTAAGAATGATACTTCGTCATAGCATTAGTGTGTCTGTCTCTGTCTGGATTCAACATAGAAATTGGCACCGAAGTGCAGTAGTTCGAGTTGCCACGTCCCAAATAGCTAACAAACGTAGACAAGAAGATGAGTGAAGAGAATCAATCGAGTTTTGACAAGTATAAGCGTGAAACAGAATGAGTAATGGTAGAAAGGAATATGAGACTGAATATTACAGAGACTGAATACATCTGCGCCATCGACAACGACTTCGAGCCATGTCACCTATTGTCTGTCTCCAGCCATTGATTGATTCTTAGAGTTTCGAGGGCCCAAACCAACTCGGAAGTCTGCATCTCCCTACCTGACTCAGTTTAACTGTCAAGGATTTCATGTATTGATTGATTCGATGTTTTTGTTTGGCCACCACTTCTTACTCTTTTCCAACCTGCACCTATATCAGCTAGTAATGCCCGTCGGGGTGGGGGAGGCGATGGTTAGGCATGTGCAGCACGTGACGTAGCCATCTCAATCTATGTAACTTTATAGCCTCTTCGATTGATTCTCCCTCTTTGCCCAACACTCTACGCCTAACCTAACGTCAACATTACTTACCTTATTATACCACCTAACGTGAGAAAGAGATCGTAGACATCTCTGATCAAAAGCAGTCAACCTCCCCATGTGTTCAACTCGTATTAGCCATGTTTCAGAGCCATAGAGAAGGACGGAGCGAGCAGTACAGCTGAGCAGTACACACGTCCCTTGGTTGATAGTCGGATGTCACGCCTACGCCAGAGATGGTGTAAGTTAGCGAAAGCAGCCCGAGCTTTTTGGATCCGTGCTGAGATTTCGTTGCCAATCAGTCCGTTGGTGCTGATACAACTTTCCAAATAGGTGAAGTGGTCAAAATGTTTTATCACCGACTGAAAGCTGCTACCTTGACGTGGTGGTCGGGCTTGAACGCCGCAATGACCCAACAAGCTATACTGCCGGAGACTTATGTCACTGGAGGTCCTACCATGCCAGAAAGGTTATTTGGATAGCGGTTAGACAAAAAGCAGTTACCCAATCCAATTAGTGTGTAATGCCATCGGTAAGAAGTACTATATTGCTGTGCTTTATCAAACTTATTCTTGGTGTTAGATAGTTCCAGGCAATCAGTAGAAAGCACTGGACGTAAGTTCCATGTCTGATGTTCATTTCACTCAGCGCTGCATTTAGAGACGTTAGTAATGTGAAACACCTACCTGAACAGGCTTACTTTCGTTGATCACAGATATATGCCGTCTGTTAATTTATTCAATATGGTGAGTAATACTGAGATCATGCGTGGAGTGCTAAGAAAGTAGGAAAAGTCACTCGATAAGCTTGTGAATCCGCTGTCTGTCTATCTGTTTTCGACGTAGAACTTTGCACATATGTGCGGCACTTCAAGTCACTACATTCCCTCCATGTAGCACACAAAGCAAGAGAATAAAGTAGGAGAAATGCATAATATAGACAGTAAACTGAGGTGTGAGACAAAGGAATAGTAATAACGAAGAACAAAACAGCTTAATTGGAAATCATAAGTCACAAGGAGTGGATGCACCTGCGCTAGCCATTGAGAACGATTTTGAGCCATGTCACCAATTGTTTCCAGCCTTCATTGGCTTTTACCGTCCCGAGGACCCCAACCAGTCAGGAAGCCAGTCTACACCTTCCTACATGGCTTAGACTAACTATTGTGGATTTCATTGGCTGGTGCCATGTTTTGGTTTGACCGCCACTAGCTCTTTTCCGCGGTGCCAAGTCACCGCCTTACTCGTCAATTAATTTTCGCTGACATAAGAGTTAGACGCAGTCAAATCGAAATCTGACATCAGTCTATGAAGTCTTTGACTGTTGGTTTAAGTCAGCCACGTGCATAGGTAGGTATAGATTACCAGATTGGTGCTACCCGAGACACACAGAACCAATGACTGGAGATTGTGACAGCGTGATGTGGCTCAAAACCGTTCTCAGTGGTGCAGATGGGTCCACTCCTTGTAATCTCCAAGACCCTCTTCAAGCACTCGTATTTCTCCATGTTACTGTTCTGTCTCCCATACATTTCTCATTATTATAGTTCTATGTTTATGCACTACACAGAGTGTAACAGCTCGAACTGCTGCATTTCTGTGCAAAAGTGTACGCTGAGCCTCAGTGAATCAGCTTTATCAAACAGGCTATTCTAATGCTGAGTTTAGGAATATGGAGGGATTGTGGTTTTAGCCAATGTAGGTATCTACAATTTTCATTCTGTATGCTACAGATTCAAAGTCTGTGTAGGCGAGATCTGTCACCAGCCTCCACATATTAGGTTTGTTTGATTGACAGACACATGAAAATGCATTTGTTCATATTTACACCTTATTAGGATAATCAAATAAGTTTTTGTACATAAGAAGTTAAAATAACTTTTAAGAAATAAAGCAATAAGAAGACGTAATTTGTCTGAATCGTGTAATGTATTTGCGCAACAAATTTCGAACAATCTGATCACACAAAAGAGCCTTAGTAAAGTGCCTCTTCAGTAGAATCCAAAGGATATGCACTGAAGACACACTAGATGGGGAAGGAAGAAAGTTGACACAAACTCTGGTTGATAACAATTATCCAGACAAGTTCACCAGGAGATATAAAGTATTCAGAACACCAAGACCTATTCTTTAACTCGTTGCTCAGAAAGACGTGTACATCAAGCTACCCAATATGGGGCATCATAGCAGCTTGACAACTAAACAAAGATTGAACGCTGTGGTCAAAAAGAATTTTTACACAGCTAATATCATAATAATTGAGAATGTGAAGCATATATATCCATCTAAGCCCTTCAAACATGTGAAAAATGATGTCACATCGCACTGTATCTACGAATTTGAATGTACGTGTGGACACACATGTACACATAGCGAGGACTCATCGATCTCTGCAAGTAAGGGCTGGCTTGTGAGCATATTCCTAAATGGCTCCAGAAGCAGATAGAATCCCCAGAACCCATTAATGGTGAGAAGAGGAGACCTAGCTCCTCCATTGCGAAACATATTATAGAGACAGGACATAAAATTGGCGTTTACACATCTTTTAAGCCTATCTATAAAACGTGTTTGGGACGTATCCTAAAGTTTGTGGAAGCTCTAGCTGGCAATTGGAAAGTTTAAACCACCTTTATGCATTCAAAGGAGCAATTTATCATCACATTTAGTCTTCCTACCTTGGTAAACGTTGTTTTGATACCAGCCAGGGGAGATGTACTATTACCTTTGTTATTTGGTTTAGTGATTTTCATTGTTACTTTGACCTTGAGTATGTCCTTTTAACTTGACCTATGTCTATTTCCTCACCTCTTACCTCTTTATTAATTTCATATATATTCGTATGGCAAGTCTATGTGTGATCAGATTGTTCGAAATTTGTTGCGCAAATACATTACACGATTCAGACAAATTACGTCTTCTTATTGCTTTATCTAAATTCATGAAGGGAACTAATCATCTTAAATTTTAAGAAATAACCAGAGAAGAGTAATTCGTTCTCACACTATAAAAATGCATATATATCTATATTCATACTGGATGTATTTTGCAAGAATAAAAAGAATGATTCCATAGATATCTTAGTGAAAACTCAGTTCGACTAAAACTTACAAGTAAGATTTAACAAAACTTAAGTACGACTAAGGTGTCTGCTTTCTATCTCCCGTGTGAAGTGGTATAATAG